TACGGTTAAGTTTTTAAGTTACGGCTACGTCTAAGGGCCACGGTAACGTTTACAATTTCGGTTCGAGTTAGGGTTGCCGTCAGGGTCAATGTTTAACCCTTAAGGTTGAGGTTGGGGTTATGTTTGGGGTTAAGGTTAGGATTAGGGTTAAGGTTGGGCGCTGAGTGTCTAGTCTGAGATATTTCTACATGGATCTCGGATTAGACAGCAATGGAGTTTTCCATATATTTTCAAATGTCTTGCCTAATAAATCCTCTGTAACTACTTAAAATTGTAGTTTACTGTATCAAGTTTCTAAGTATTATTTGCCATTTATAATTAAAACGTCAGTTAGACTGTAAAATCGGGGCCTGGCTACCAACTGCGATCTAGCCGCGAAGTTGAATAAAAGTCAGATATAAATGTTGGGTATAGAAACACGAGGACAAGTGCGGAGCGAAGAGTCAATTAATTATACTTGCAGAAAATTACATTGAATTCCTTTTGTGAATTTGATTGGTTTGCCATAAGTAGGCTGTCACAGGCGCCCTTGATTTGTAAGTCCACAAAATCGCTGGAAAAGAGCAGCCCGAACTGTCCCAATAGTCGAGCTCCAAGTACCAGGGTCGGAAGGTCTCCACTGGCCGCTAGTGATTTAACAAGACTCGTAAACTGGCCGCAATGGCCACTGATACTCAAGAAATCCACCTCGGCCAGACAGCCTGTAAGAGAGAAAAGACAGGTTGATTCGAGGAAGAACAGTTGGGAAAGTCATACGCAGTCAGATTCATCAATTACTGCTTTCGACAAAAAGTAAAACACAAGGAAAAAGCAATTTCTATTGACAGAGCGGCCATCGTTTCCGACGGTGTCCACAGTATGCTCCATAGCCTTAAGTGTGCGTGGTGGCCGACTGGTGGACTGAGAAGGGTTGCGATGGCTCCTTCTTCATGTGGCTTCTATGGCACTCTCCGATGCGCTGCCCCTGCATGTGTAATCTTGGTGTGTGAGGTCGGGCCGCGAGGTCGTGTGTGTGGGACAGGCAGACGAGTTCTCTAGCGCTCACTTCTCGCACCACACATCTCATAGGCTCGGACAGTGGACCGGTGCCTGGGAGAGGGGGGAGAGGGAGTAAGGTCGACGGTCCCAGCGCATATTCCTCACCATAGGCAATCTGACACGCCTGAATCTGCCACGGTGGCTAAAAGCCTTGGCTTGAAGGTTGCCAACTGACTGGATAACTCGGTCCTCCTATCCGAACGGAGGGTTACTGCGACCTCCCCAGACTCCAGTCATCTTCACTAAGTCTTAACATCGGGTTCAGAAGGGTGAGGAAGAAAGAGTGTAATAGACACGAAACAAGTTTACTACCAC